CGGGTGACAATACATACCGGTTCAAAATTTTTTTCTTCCGGTAGGGATCCTGTCCATGAGATGCCACGGTTTATATCCGCTAGAGAAAATGAACGGTACCGGTAGAGCAATCAGTTCGACGACACAGATACACACACACACACACACACATAGAATTAACTGATCTGAACCGAGTTGATGAACGTCAAGAGAAAAACGATGGAAAGTTGATGAAGCCGGTCGTAAGTTAATCGAACCGCTCACTCAGGTCGAGAAACACACAAGCACACATATTATCCATTGACTACGTTTCAGTAAGTGAACATGTTCCCAATAGACCATAATACGGATTACCAATACACAATGCTATTTCCCGTACCCCGCGTTGTTAGAGTACTTTGATAATCCGTCGCCCAGTTGATCTCAAATATTTAATTTAATCCATTGGAACGGATGTTGATTACCTTCTCTCATCCGCATCGAATAGTAGGATTCTGACAGGTTTCACGAATCCCATAGTACGAGTGAATCCAAGTATTTTCGAGCAAGTCAACGCATTCCAATTCTGACTACATAAAAAGGTACCAAGTCGTTCTCTTAAGGTACCTAACCTTTGATTTCACCAATCCAGATCATTGAATTCGTCCCCAGCTCCGAATAGATAGCACAATCAAGATACATCTGTGATGCATAATCGTGATGCTAAACCTACGATCGTACAAACAGAATTTTCTTCACCGAATCACCACCATGTATGTGCACACTCTAATGGTTTTCCTCAGAAATCGTGTTGTTACTGGGATTGAGCACATCCGAATTTGAGATAAATAACGAACCATGATGTGTATATTGCGATGAATTTGGGCTCCCCGGTTCGATTTCGACCGGGCTGGGAAAAGGGGGAGAGGGCAGAGTTGATACACACACACATAACACTCATTGCATAAGTACAAAAATGCGTGGTAACGAACTCTTCCGGAATCCTTGGGAACCACGGGACAACATGATGCATTTCGTTACAGTCTCGTTCCATAGATATATCTTCTGTGACTCCGGGCATATTGGTTTAGACAGCCCTTTCAGAACCAGTCCATTTATAGATCAATACTACAAGTCAATGTTTTGTAGGTAAGTTAAATGCTACTATGAGTGCGAATTGTAACATAAACGTCTCTGTAGACTATTTATAATTAGTAGTATATATGTGTTTACGGGTTTTGTAAAAGAAATCATAATAAAGCCGAATCTGTATTTAAGTGTTTAAACCGGTAATGAAAGTCCACAAATGACTATTAAAAATGAAAAATACCAATTTGGTGACTGGTGTTTATGTTTCCATCTGTTTTAGTGGTCATTCACGACTAGCGGTGAAGGTTGTTGCTCCGGGGTCGGCAATGTGTTTGCCCCGTGTTGTTTCGCAGCCGACGGTGTTCTGGCCAAATTACCATCTGTCTCTTGTTCTGTGCGAATGTACGACATGATCTGATCGTGTGGAACTTTGCATCGATTCAGGTGCACAAATTCACGGATGGAACGGAATCAAATTGTTGTCTGTTGATCAATTTGTATCATGGTAGTTTTATTCATCCATCTGAATCAATCATATCAATCAATCTGAACAGATTGCATAGCCGGACTGATTCGATGACTACTGCAGGTCCAAATAATCAGTTCTGTTTCCGTAAGACGAACGACGCATCATTTAAATCGCGCCATAGTGCGTTTCTATAGCTATTTAAAACTATTGCTTGAGATGCTATCGTTCGTTACAAATGTGTACGACACCGTGTGTACACTCCAGTGTATCATCTACTCGTTTGTTACTCTTTATCGAGTTGATACCTGTACTATGGATTTTTTTTAATGAAACCCGACTGTAATCGATCGATGATTGTCCAGATATGCGCGCGCGCACACACACGCACAGACAGACAGACAGACAGACAGACAGACAGACAGACAGACAGACAGACAGACAGACAGATAGACAGATAGACAGACAGACAGACAGACAGACAGACAGAGGAGAGGGAGGGAGGGAGGGATAAGAATCTCGAGACAACGGGATAACGCCACTCTGGTTTCTATTCAAAAGCTCGATCACCATTACACCACGATGTGTGATCATAAGGCACCACATTCGGTCACCACTTCAAACACATTCGAATTTTCTCCCAATTTTCACCATATCTATCACAATGAAGTTTGTCCGGCATTGATGGGTAGAAACTCCGAATAAATCACAAAGTTTCGAGTGCAAACCATGAATTTTGACAGAGTTTAATTTCATCCGATAGAGCACGCTTGATAACTTGTATCTATCCATCCTCGGCAGAAAATTTTATCAATACCGGAACTAGCAGTAGCTACAGAAGAGATACAGTAAGATTGCAATTTTTTTTCCTGTTGAGGGAAACAATGAACGAATTGGTCAGTTTATCAGCCTAACCATAGCGCCCTCATCATTATTATTATTAGTAGTAGGAGTATTATTATATTACCATATATCATGCTATAAAGAGATGAAAGTTATTACGAATATTGAACTGTTCAGATTTCGTTGATCGATGTGGATGATCTATTCTATACGTACAATGTCAACTGTCTCACCCAATTGGGATTCAACAGTAATCGAAAATTATGCCTATATTTTTTCTTTTACAACTATTTAAATTTGATTTATGCTCGTTGGAGAACAATGGAAAGAGTATTCTGGAACAGGTGTTAATACTAGCAGACTACAGTTATCAAAATGGTAACCATAGTCAACGCAGTTCGCATACACTATCGACGGGAACGAATGGCCACCAACAATCCGAATGTACTTTTGGACTACCATTATGTCCGTAGACGCAAAATTGTCACCGTTTTTACTGTTTAGTATATGTGGGGTGGCGTAGGTGAATGATTGCATTACATATATCTATATTCCTATATTGCGTGAGATGATTGTCTGGATTTTGTGAACCTACCGAACATTGTTCCTAAATTTACATTCCCCTTTATGGAAGTCAATAAAATTCAGACTTTCCGTCCTCCCGATGTTCAGAATGCAGTTTCACATGTCCCGAGGTGCTCACATGCTCTCTCTCTCTCTCGCGCGCGCGCGCGTTGTCTCGTGATATGGGCAAATATTTACGGGTGTTGGTTTCGCACAGCAACTGCCGATATACTCGTACCCGTATTGCCCAACCACCTAACCACCACCCCACTCCAAGTCCCCATCCTTCGCACCACGGCTCGGTTGGTTCCATGTACGGGGCTTGGGCTTTGTTTATGACAAGCTATTATTCACATCATGTGACCACCACCCATCCGGGGCACTTGACCTCGATTCTGACCTTGAAACATACAATGCGATCCATTTGCCACGCGGTTCTTCTTCTTCCGCTGCTACTGCTGCTGCTGCGGCGGCAAATATGAATCAATTCGCTCCGTGTGCAAGCTTGCCAGTTTGGCTCAATATCTGCCGAGAGGATCAGCCACCTGGGTTTATGTGACCAGAAGATTTAATGTTTTATGTGCAATTAAAAGAACCGTGACCCTACCTGCACAGTTGACCTATGAATGTCGAATGGAAAGTAAAATGAAGCATCATACATTTCCTGATCGGTAATGACGCCCGTAACTGCATCTGGTTTTGATCAATTCACATGGGTTTTGAGCAAAACAATTTCCGTGGACTAGGAATGAAATCAGGTTGTGCCTGAATTCTTGCTTGCCTTTTTAATACATCAGGACCAAATGATGTTGGGAGTGTATCGAAAAATCGATGTGCCATGTGTTGTGTTTATTGTGAATGTTATAGTGTTAATAACAGCCATGTTGGTAGAGAATTATATTCGCCGACGTTTCGGTTACCGTGGGTAACCTTTCACAAATGACTCAGATGAAAGGATCACAAGTCAACGGATATTTCATCGTGTCTTTGTGTATGTGGTGGGCTGAATGATTCGTTGTCCGTCATACTAACTCCCATTATCAGATGGGGTCAAGTGGCATCGTGACCTTTATTGTGATTACCTGTTAGGGATGTAAGTGTAGTCCAAATGCTCGGGGTCTCGGTTCCGTCGTGTCTGTTGACACATGCAGAGTGGGTGTTAATGGCCAAAGCTTCGGCATACAAGCGTTCACTGCATGTTCGAAATCCGAGTTAGAGTGTCTTTGGGTTGTCGTAGTCTATGAGGTGACCTTCGGCTATGGCGTGAAGAGCGGTCACTGAGTCTCGTTCTACTTTTTGCCAGAGTTGTTTTGTCCGTAGGCTGATATTTCTCCTTTCTCTTATCTTCGGCTATTCCTGTCTTAAGTTGTCTACTGGTTTGCCCAATGTATTCTGCGTGGCATTGTTTACAACTGATTTTGTAAATACGCCCACTCTGTATGTGTCAACAGACACGACGGAACCGAGACCCCGAGCATTTGGACTACACTTACATCCCTAACAGGTAATCACAATAAAGGTCACGATGCCACTTGACCCCATCTGATAATGGGAGTTAGTATGACGGACAACGAATCATTCAGCCCACCACATACACAAAGACACGATGAAATATCCGTTGACTTGTGATCCTTTCATCTGAGTCATTTGTGAAAGGTTACCCACGGTAACCGAAACGTCGGCGAATATAATTCTCTACCAACATGGCTGTTATTAACACTAACATTCACAATATTTTGCTTGCCTTATTCGAGGTATGATACGGGTTTCGAAAGCCCCGGAGCAATTCATTCCCGCCCGGCACTACGGATACGCGTCCGAATACCGTTACCATGCAATGTGTTAGTGTTGTGAGATACTACTCACTTGTGAGTAGCAGGTTACTTTCAATGATCAAAAATATAACAAGATCATCGTGGGTCAGGTGGTGTCTGAAAGAATAACTACCGACTGCCCTATGCATTATTCGATGTGCCGCCAGGAACGGTAATGGTATGATTTTGATGAGATATTTTGTGTTACGAATGGCAAAGCGGTGATATCCCACCTGAAATCCTCAATAAACGAATATACTCCGCCAGCACCGCCTTTTGGAATTATAACACTGTGAGAGTACACACTCCTCTGTGTGTAGTTGCATTTATGTACAAGGAATGACGATATCAGGACACGCAATGAGTGGTTTTCGACTGTATCACCACCGTCCTCTCCATGGAGTGTGATCCATTCCAGAAAGACAATACGCGTGCTTTGGTGTGTCTATAGATCTGTCTGGAAAGATACTTGTTAAGTTTTATATATCCAAAGCATAAATTGGGATCTATTGAAGATGACGACTGTCAGCCCTGTATCTTAGGATAAGGATTTCGGATCAAACACGATCACAATTCGAAAATAATACGTACTACTCATAAGTAGTCCACAAAAGGAAATTTAGTCGATGTATAACTCACCCTAGAACTCCAGTTGGGGAAACGAGAACTGAATGAGAAATATTGGTCCAGGGAAGATGACACGTCAATTTCGCCGCGTTTCAGATTGGTGTCTAACCGTCCCTCATCTACTGATCTACTGAAACGAAATCCCCCGCACTCTGTTTCCCGGCAGTTCGCAATTCGCTCAAGTCATTTGTTATGTAAACGATATTGTCCTGGGGATGAGAGACGTTTTATATCAACTTCGATCCTGCGGTAACATTTTGTATTATTGTGTGCATTGTGAAGGATAATAGTTCATGAAACCTGTGGGTTGCTTACTTAACTGGATTGGCACGAACCAATAACTAGGGTTCGGGAACTGCGTTTCTACAAGTCTTCAGAGTTCCAATTTGGTTCGATTCGATTTTCTCACCTTTTATTGCTATTGTTTTTAATTCTTTTTGAACAGATTATTTACACAGGTATTTTTCTTTCCAATCTTCTCACTGTGTGTGTGTGTGGGGGGGAGTCTGTCTAGTTTTCTTAAGTCCAGTGAGCTGATTGTACCGTGAAGATACGTCTTTCACGAGAGGAATGCGTGGAATGCGTGTCATACGAGTGTTGCAGTGGCCGTAACTCCTCTCTCTCCTAAAATGTGACGCCAGTCAAACGCATCATACGGAAGAGTATAACAGACTTACGTGTGGTACTGGATGGCAAATCCAGTGGTGTGTAGCCCAGCGTGCACCACTGCATTGTGGCCTCGTGCAACAGACGATCGGTGGTCGCATCGAGCAAGCTAAGCAAATCCGTGGTCGCTGTGCTCATCTCACTNCTCCCGTGTCCGGGGCTGGTTGCCACACTGCCCGGTACAGATGGCGCACCGGTACTGGTCAAATTCATCAGCATTGTAGACCAGTCCAACATTGCGGTATCCGCAGCCGACTCAGTCAGTGTGCTTAGCTGTGGTACCGTATCCGAACTGGTACATTCGGGCTCTCCGTGTACAGATGTTTCCGGTTCTTTTTTGTGCAGCGAGAGCTACAGAGAGCGGAAGCACAGGAATTCATTGAATTATCGATCGGTAATGATGTGCAACGCTCTCGCAGGGTAACATCCGCCTGCATTTGTGAGCATATTTTCGAGCATTCCAGTTCCGCTGAACACACCCGCACGCACACACGCACGCACACACGCGCACACACTCGACCATCAATTTGCGAGTTCGGATTTATTGATCTTGTGTCATTCATTGATTTTAAGATATCTTCACGGCGCGAGTTGAGCACCGTTGCTGTGAGGCTAAGAATCACACGATACCGATGCAAGAAAGTGCTGCTTTGGGCACAAACCTTGTCTGTGAGTGCAGGAACACATTTGCAGTTCGCAATTTAACAGATCTTTGATTGATACGAAGTTAGATGTGCAGCTAATCACAATACATCTGTTATATTGTAGTGGAAGAAACGCCATATAAGCAGCTTTTTTCACCGTCAAGCAGGAGAAGGCAATCACTTTTCACTTTTCCACAATCAATCCTGACTAGCCAGACTTACAATGCCGTTAAGCACTGATGATACCCTCGATAATCGTGAGTAGTTCCCTGGTGGACAGCTAAGGCGTACACGGCGGAGAACACGATCACCTCGGTCGCTTCATTCGGAACAAGTGTCCGCCACCCCACCGAGTCGTTCGTCGGATGTGAGCTACAAATTCTGGTAAAACGTAATCTTTGGTATAATATATTACTGAATGGGATGAAGGAGTGTCATGTGGTTTGCCCTCATTGGACAATAGGATTTTTAAATTCTCCTTTGTGCGTGCTGCTTAGTTCCCCGGAGTAAAGGGATAATTAGAAAGGCTGCAATTTGTCCTTGTACAAGTGATGCGATTGACCTATCAAATGTTTTCAAAATGACACATGTCCTATTTCGGAGAATGGGACATGGTGGAATCTAATCCACGTGGAAACAGAAGCTCTGTAATGGGATGAATACGGAATAATCGGGAAAGAATAGTTTCGAAGTTGATTCAACTGCTTCTACAAAATAAGTTAAAAAAACAACTGACATTACGAGATCGGAACATTGCTTGCAAGCTTAGTTATTGGGTGATGTTATCAGACTAATCACTAGGCATTGAGAAAGGATGACACCTTGTGGATTGTGTGGACTGTAGCTCGGGATGTGGATGATTTTCAACGTGGTCGTTCTGTTCGCATGCAATTGAAAACGTGTTCAATGCGTGCATGTATGTTCCAAAAACGATTCAATCGTTTTCATACTGTGGTTTTTGACGATCAATGGCATTTCACTACTTTTACAATGCTGGCCGACAGAACTTTGAATTTAATTGATCATACAAATTTCACATGTGATCACAACAAAATCATTTTAACTGAAAAGTGTACATCGAAAGTCTACGCTAACTAAACGGTACACCTAGTTGGCCACCTGTCCGACATGTATCGCTTCTATTTTGTCCGCGAAATGGAATGGAATGCTCGGTCTACAGAAATAGATAAATAAAGATAGATGATAAATAGATAGATAGGTAGATAGATAGATAGATGGATAGATAGATAGATAGATACCAATTAAAGCACAAACAACGAAAACTAATCGGTTACCTGCTGTCCGATCAATCCATAACCTTGATAGAGCGGCAAATTGCTGAATCTCGATTGAAAACGACTATCGGACAGTTCAGCCATCTCGGTATGTGGCGGATGTACAATTGTCGCGGTTGTGGTTACTTTCGTCGGATTGGCCGAGACGAGGTATTTCGCTTCGGAAAACAGTCGCTCAGATTCCTTTCGGGGAGAAGAGTAACAGAGTTTCGGGGTGATAATTACCACGATATGAGTCCGTTTCTGAGTAAACCGAAAACAATAACAAAGTGATTGAACAACAAAACTTTTACTGTTACTGTTACGTCAGAGCTTACTTGCAGTATGGACAGATTTGGAAATTCGCTTGCACTACCCCTTATTCTGGTTGCGATGAGCTGTAGTCAGTATTAAGCTGATCCTCAACTCCGACGAACGCCAGCAACCGTGTTTGATAAACTGGCAGCCTAGGGAATTCCCTGAACCAAATTCAGTGGAACTGATTGTTTGGCCTATCTTTGTTGTGTCTTTTGAGTATTGCATCACATCTATTCCAATGTCCACGGATGGCGAGTGACCACACACACACACACACACGCACACACACGTAGATGCTTTCTAAAACAAACGATCAGTCTCTTTTTCGAGGTGAAACGAATGCTCATCAACTCGCACTGTCCACGGCGCGTGCGCGCGCATTTCCTCAAATCTGACTGACTGACAGTCAATCAGTCGGGATGATTAATAATTGGCAGAATGGAATGAATGAATTGCGCAGATGAATTCCACTCACTGCTATGTGTCAATGTGTCTGTCGGGAGTAGTTCTTTCATTCCCGTGCGCTCTCTCTCTCACACAATCGGAATATATATATA